TGACCCTGTGAATTTAGCTAGCTTTTTGAATCAAACAAATGCCTTGTTTGACAGATTTTTTTACTTTGAGAAAAATGGTACTGTCAGTCTGTAAAATAGCCATTTTCATGTTTTGATTTTGCATCTGATTCCCTTTACTTGTTATCTTTGTACTGTGCTTTTGTGTACAGAGCGTACACAGTTAAGATAGCATCTTCCCAATTTGGCCAAAGAAGAAGATGTGCACTGAATTTTGACCATAAATATGTACAAAATAGGGTATTTGTATAGTAGTTTGAATATAAAACTGGACTGAGTGTTGAAAAATGTGATCAGTGGGGTAATTAAACTCCCAAACTAACAAGTTGTATACTTTGACTCCACCGTACACTATGTATTTATCTGTGCCAATTAGCCAAACTGACCCTGCTCACCAGGTTGGTGATGTGTTTCACATGGTAATAATGCTGAGAAAGGATTTAGCTCTTTTTTCAAAACATCTCCATATTTCTATTTAATGCTAGGATCTTGTAGTTCTGTAGCTTTAGGCACTCTCTGTGGTGCCCTGTGCTTGTACATTTTCTGAACGATGCAGATGGTGCTGATCAGAAGTCCAGAAACACCTTTGGGGGGGAGGGGTAATTTAAATGATGTACACCTGAATCAAAATCTCCTAAATGTCTGAATTTGGACTTGTTGACTGTTAATGCGTCACGCAAAAGATGCAATACAAAAATGATGACTCTGCATAAAATCTACTCAGAGAGTTATTATAAACATGCAGAAGCAATAAACTATCATCTGACCTTGGATCAGCCCAACCTTGAGTTGCCCCTCTGAGACTTGTACTTCAGCATCACTTCATTACTTGACGATGTGTAAATAGTTGTGCCAATTCCTTTTCACGTATTACAGAGGAGATGCCGTTGAGATTAAGTGTCGCTCCTTTCTCATTGGCTGACTTCAGCTGAATCTCTGATAGCTAGATTTAGTCATACTTTGAAAATGAACACAAGGCTGTTTTGCAGCTATGTAATTAAGCCATGTTTTAGACTCAGTTTACAAAGAAAAGCTCCAGCCATGAAAAACATACTGAAAAGAGGACATCCATTTAGATCTGTAGTAGGAGTAGAAATGAGTAATAATAATGTTTCTGCTGATATATTATGTAAGATAATAATTCAGTCATAAAAAAGACAGATCCCTGTTGTCCCTTTTTTTTTATAATCATGGGAAGAAGAAGTTGTAGATTTTTATAGCTCCAGCTGATATGTTGCTTAATCTGTAAAACCCATTAATCTGTAATCAATAGGAATCTTCCTAAAGACTAATTTTGCTAGTAAGTTAGATGAGATAAAATAATAACATTGGCCAGACATATTTTGTGTGGAGCTATATGAAACCGTTAATCATGTTTAATTGTTATCAGTTAGTATTTTAAATTTACTTATCTGTATAGCACTTTCTGCCATGTATAATGTTGCAAAAACAAAAAGTATTTTGCAGTGGTGGCTAACCTTTGGCTAACCTTAGCAGGGCTAGCTACAGTAGCGTTGGGCTCTTCCTAGCGTCCACATTCCAGTGCACAGTATCGTTGCACATCACGTCAGATGCCTGGTTACTTTCCAGTTTATCCTGACAAAGCTGACATACAGTCTCTCTTAATTTAGTTTTTTAAAATTCTGCACAACAGCACTGGCTAGCATGGTTAGCACCAGATGCCACGGTGGCGCAGCAAGTTCTTTGAACCAGTTATTGCCGTTGTACATGAAGAAAAAAAGGACAATACATTTAACTGACTAGCACTTCTAGCACTGATTAGCAAGAGCAGCAATATTTAAATGTCTAGTCGACTAGTTGCACATCTTGTTAAACATTAAATATCCAAAAGCAGCAGCCCCAGTGTTAGTTAAAAAAGCAAAGCTGCGAACAACAAAACAAGCGCTCACACAACCATTTGCTGAGCCCCACTACAAGTTAGTGTTGGTACATGTTCACAGTTTATATTGATAGCTGTGGAAATCCACAGCTATATATAAGGACATACTTGGACAGGCGTCACAGTGGTTTGATTTATTTTTATCTATTCTTGCAAGGTCATTTTCTTTTGCTGCAGAAAATGTAACAAAAACCCAGCGAGCAAATCTGATGCTCTTTAAAACAGGTTTCAGTGCTCATTTCCCTCCAAACCAAATAAAGATGAGGGCAGAGCTGCTTTTGTTACTCCTTGCTCTCATTGCTGTAGTTGTTCCAGTTCTGAACAGGTATTTTTGTAATGTAGCCCTACACAATGTGAAATTGTCATTTGGTTTAGGAAATAATGCTAGGGTACTTCTGTAGGTGGTAAACTGCTTACTTGCTACTGTCATTTACTTCTGTAAAGGATAAAATAGACAGTGCTACTATTGTTATCTCTTTACACAGGATATTGATCACAGTAGAGGCCCGTTCACAATGTTTTAGCATGTTTACAAATCCAAATTCGCTTTTTCTTATTACATTTTTGAAACTATGACTTGGTCTGTTGCTGTTTTGGTGGTGGGGCTTAGCAAATGGTGAATTGACTGAATACAAAATATAAATCTATTCGTTTTCACAGGCAAGAAAATTCAACATAGGACTACAGAACAGATTGGAGAGTCAAGCTGCCAGTCAGACCAATCGTGTGATTACCACCTTTAGCCCTTTGTTTCCAGCCCAGCCGTCTTATGACTGTATGGGGGGGAAAAAAACTCAAGTAGTCAGTCTCTCAGCATTAGCCTCATGCCTCATCCAACAGGCCTTACTGCCTTATCAAACAGAAGGTGCACGTAGGACATTGATAATCATTCGCCAAATATCCTGAATCTCTGATGACTGTAGATTGTCCTACAGATTGTGGAATTCTGTTCTTAGTGAGTCACCGTCTCTGCTTGCTTTATCATTATGGCTGAAAAAGACTTTCAACTTTGCCTCAGGCTGCTGAGAGGATAGGATCGTGTCTAGGCACAATCAAGAGGGCACTTTACGGCTCTGCTGCTTGTCAGTGAATCTCTATCACACACCAACACACGTCTCCTCTGCAGCGGCTCGAGTGCTTTTTTTCTCCTGGTGTGTGTAGCATGGTAACACAATATGTGGCAGTGTCTGTGAAAAATGTACTTATGGGACATTCATGCAGGGTCAAAGGTCATGTGTGCCTTTTATTGCACAGACTACTCCCTCTTAAATGACTGTAAATATCTGTACTTTTTTTTTAATATATATATATGATAATGTGCATGCAACCAACCCATGTAAAATAAGTTTGAACTGTAAATAATGTAAATAAATATTTAAAGAAGGATCCAGTGTTTCCTCAAGACAATAAATCAGTTCAAAACAAGTGCATTTTGTGGTTTTGAATTCAATGCGATGTAATGTTTGTGCATCCGGCTCAGATCTTTTAGACTTCTTCTGTACGCATTTTGAGTAGTTTTTCAAGCAAAATGTCATCAACATTCACTGATTTTAGCCCTTTAAATGTAAGAATATGCGGATTATGTGGTATTCCTGTACCAGATATATCTCACTAAGCTTGACGAATGAGTAATGAGCATTCTTCAAAGGATAATTTAAATAAAGGTTACCAAAGCTCTATTGTGGATCATAAAGAAATATCAAAAGTCCCTTTGGAGAAGATGAAACTCATTATCAGACATTTAGTTTTGTTATTAGTTATCGTATTTGCCCAGCTTTCTAACTTCTTAGCTCTCGAATCTGTCTGATATGAAAGACCAAAGGATCTCTTACGTTGCAGATGGGAGAGGAGTTATGATCATTCAGTACAAACAGACCAACAGGTTGTAGACGATGAAATGTAGACATGGGAGGGCATGTTTTTCAACTAGATTCATTTCTTTCTACTTCAGGGATAGAGATGCATTTCCAAAACTCATAAATCTTCATTTCCTTTGCAAACTCTGATCATTAACTTGTGTCGGGCTGCGCCTGGCCCAGCCGCGATGGGAGACACAAGCACTGTGATGTACGATGGCCATTAACGCCTCAGAGGAGGCAGAAACCATTTGACGATGCCAGTCACAAACAAATAAACATCCATACACAAACCCTGTCACATCCCAGCTGCATGTGCTCCATCTGCTCTCTTCATACAGCAAACTGCTGAAATTTCATTTGAATGCCTCCGTCTGTTTCATTACACTTCAACGTTCCAGTAAGTCTGTTTTCACTAGCTGATCCATCAGTCTCTGTCCTACAATATTCATCACCTTGTAACTAAGAAACACAATATGAAACTCAGCCAAATACCCCGAGAGTGTAGCTGTGTTCTATATTCAGAGTGTACTGGTAGGTAAAACAAAATGAAAGTTTCCAGTATCACAGTAACCTTGGGTTTTTGCAATAATGGCAGTGTCAGTGGGCCACTTGGCTGGTCTGTCACTTTCCACAGTTTGCAGAAAGAAATCTGTGGGCGTTGCAGACATTCTCAGTTCAACTCTTTGATTTTTACAGTAAGGAAATACCTGCAGAACTACTGATATTCCTGTCAGCTTTAACATTTTCTGCTTGTGTTACAAAACCTTTAAACACCTAAAACTCTGACTGATGCTGTCTTTATTTTCACAGGTGAGCCTCACAGTACCAGCAGCAGTAGTTGCGCAGTCCAACTCCCCATATCTTAAAAGGGATTTAAATTAAAGGCTCATACATGAGTACTGTTCACCAGCTTGATGCTGCCTGTTAGCATAGACATAGTGGATAATTTAGCTAAAGACCCAGACATTTTCCTTGGTAATCAGTGGAAACCAAAACAGAGCCCAAACTGAATATGCCTGAAGTTCAAAGCTAATGTATGATACACATTCACCAGCATGAAAGGTGCTTTTGTTTCAGTTTTAATAATAAATAGAACTAAAATTGACATTGTCGCAACTGCTCAGTGTGTTATGAGCTGCCACTTATGAAGCACACACACTTTTCCAACTGAATTCTTAAAACCTTACTTTATATGACTGATCCTAAATGGACAATAACAGAAATGACACTTTATTATATAATTTATTAGATTCCCCCCCTTTTTGATGATAATGCAAGCGAGGAGGAGCGACATTATGGAAACGAGCCCAACTGTGGAAAAGGATTAAGACTGAGACAGAAGATGAAACACAAAAAAGAAAGGAGTTTGGTTTTGAGTGCTGGCTGGGGAAGAAGAAGAATCATGTTGAGGGGGGGAGGGGTTACAATAAATGGGAAGCTGCAGGCTTATTATTTTAAATAAAATGAAGACGCAGTAGGAAGCACCTCCAGTGTGACATTAAGGGAGGTAAACTGAGAACATGCTCCACACATATTGAATAGGGAACTGAACAAATGTGTGGAGCGCAAAAGCTGAACAATTTGCTAATGCTATACCTTGAAAGAACATATATACGGATAATAACTGTGGAATTAGAGCCTTTATAGCGAATGATTGACACTTTAGGTTAGAACCTTATTCACTCTACATAAATTCACACTTAGGAAGAGAAATAAGTGAGAGGTACTCTGAGAGACAGTCGTGAACTGAGGATATTAGCGCTGAAGAACTAATAAACTTCTTTTTCTGCAAAAAAACAAACCACTGTTTTTCACTCAAACAGCAAGCATTTGCACATTTCTGCACCCACTGAGCACAGCCTTGGACTATCACCCATATACCACAGTCTAATCCCATTATGCACTCTCTCTTTGAGTCCGGGTTTACGCACACCCCGACGCTCTGTGGTACCAGGCTTATTCACATCAGAGGGACACTCAGTCATTCATGAACACAGACGGAAAAAGCACAGTGCTGATTTAATAATTATGTTTAGTGGGAGCTTTTGTGAAACACTGTTCATGAGTGTATAATATACTGAATACTTAATTAATTGACAGATTAGTCATATTCAAGTAGGCAGGTTCACTAGAAATGACTCAGCTATAAGGCCAGAGACACATTCAGTGTCACTGTCATAGGTGAAATCCAACGCTTTCTTTGTTTGTCACTGACAAACTTTACAGTCCAGAGCTAATTGGCTTCATATTATGACATTAACAATGTAATTATAATTCGGAGATGTTCACTGAATCATTTTCTCAGTTTTAAAGGAACAATTTTTCATTTTGAGAAGTACACTTCTTGCCAAGAGTCGAATAAGAAGATCTGTTCCACACAGGTTCTGATTTCCCTTAGTGGCTGCTGTCCTGAGACCACAGTGCGCCTCTACAGTTATACAACAATTACCTCAAACCATTATGATGAGCCCAAACTCCTTTGATGATTTCCCCTTTGCTGTGATGAAGACCTGAAACTATTTTAGAATATGCTATCCTCCTGTCGCCATAATTATCTCCAGTGCGTAACTGTGACCTCTGACTATTTAATTTGGCTAAGATGTGACAGCGCCTGGTGTAATCAGTGCAGCTGAGAATAGAGCACCTCACTGTTAATTCTTCCAACAACCAACAACTAAGTCTTGTAAAATGTGGTAAATAAAAAAAAGTGAGTGGTTGACTGAATCAATTTTAACGTGAAGCATCATGCAACGAAGCAGGCGATGGGTTTAGGGCTAAGGGGGCGCTGGTTTGACTCAGTGTTGAGCAGGTGACGCTCTCCCTCTGCTTTCCTCTTACTGTCTGTCAATAATGTTGAAAAAAGCCAAAAAACCCAACCATGGGTTAAGTTCATGATATCTACAGTACTTGCCATCTTGCCAGTTTCCTTAACTCCATGAGAGACAGGGAAATCAGTATTATGGGCAACTGATTAAGGTTGCTGTGAGCTTTATGACCCTAGCTCCAACTTTTGCTTATTGCATACAATTTAAGTTAATCTGGGGAAAGGATCTCTAACCGGAGCTCCACCATCATTAATTGTTAGATGGCTTGTTATGGAGTCTTAGCATAAAGACCTAGGTTGAATCAGTCCAAAGATACCTTTATGGCTCTCTATTTATCTGTAATGTTGTAAGAAAATGGAAAAAAGAAAGGGAACCCCCCCCAAACGAAACAACAGATTGCACAACATGCTAGCTAGTTTGCCCCGTTCCCATCTTTGTGCTAAACTCACAGGCTGCTGGCTTTAGCTCAGTATTACAAAATATGGAGTTGATCCTCTCATCTAACCTGATCATAAAGGTGTGGAAGTAAGTATGCAACTTATTTGAAAAGTTCCCAGCCAGTAGGTCTAGAAACGATTGATTTCAAGGATAGCTCTGTTTGTGCTGTGCACTATTCTGTATATTTTTTCACTTGGTGAAGTTTTTTTGGATTTAATGTTCCTTTTGTTTGCAATTTTCTCTCTTGTGGCTCTTGAGTCACCCAGCTGAATGTATTTACAACAACATCATCTACATCAAGAATCATAAAATGGGTCACTTTGTGTATGAAAATACAAATACTTTCTCACAGATCATTACAACTGCAGACAAAACAACAGATTTATGACAACAGGTTAAATCACACATAATGTGTTGTGAAATAGCTATTTATTTATAATTTTTTTTCTTTATTTAAATACTTTCCAGTCCCCTTTTGAATCCACTTTCTTGGTATTTCCATGTAATGTGTGTTTCTGCCTCTCACTTTGTCTTCTTCTCTGAGTCTTTTTCTTTTGCTTGCTTTTTTGTGCTGCTTTTCCATGGCAGGAAGTTGTAGGATACCAGAACGGTGAGAAGGTAAGTAGCCATGCCAGTGTATCCACCGATTACGAGACACAGCGGCTGTGCCAGCACGAACAGACAGAACACGTTCATCGACGCGTGGTCGGTCAGCTCCACCCGGTCATCCTGCGCGGCCTTCATCACTCCAAAGAAATACATCAGTGCCAGCGCCGGATAAAAGGCCAGTTCCATCACGATGATGAAGATGACGTGGTGCCTTTGGATTTAACGTGCATAGTATTTAAAAGTAGTTTGTAAAAATCCACTGACTTATTGAGTATTTTCAGAGACACACTCACCCTCATGAAATACGCTCTCTCCCAGACAGAAATCCCTCTCAAGTGTGAAAGAGGCTGTGACAGAAAAACAGACTGGGACCTTTGATCCTTCATCACAACAGTCTTGTCAAACATTACCCACCTACTTTCTTCCTTATTGGGACACTCGAAGGTTGTTGACATCTCAACGTGATCTGGTGTTTTTTTTTAAAAAAAAACACCCTTTTAAATACTCCACCTGACCAACACAGTGTGCTTTCATGAGCATCATCTAAAAAGTTAGCGCGTTCCTCAACAGTTCTTAAAATATGTCAATTTAACTTTCATTTTTTGAGCACATGAATAAGCTGACTTGTGTGAACTGAATGACGTATCATAAATTAATTACGTTATAAAATCTTGAACTTTACTTTTACACAGCATGTCTCATGAAATATTATTTTTTTAACATCTTTTGTGATCTGACTTCAAACATACACACAAAAGAAAACTATTCAGTTTGAAAACTATAGACTAAGTTTCAAGAGATCGACATTCGGGGTCAGGAGCACATTCTTTTCCTTTTTTTTTCTAGTGTAGCGTTAGAGAGGAATACTGATACCACTTTAATGTCTGTACACCAAATATGACGCTGCTGCCATTAGTTAGCATAGAAGAAACAGGACTGCCACTTCAGACTTGTGGTGGTAATAACATTTAATTACATGTAATTACAAGGTAATAACCAGGTAATACTTGTATCAACCTTGGTTGTAAGCTGATCCTCTGACTGAAATGTATAAAATGCACAGAACCATTTAGTAACAGTAGTTTGTACTGTAAAGTGTTTGTTTAGGTAGTATAGTAACCTGTCAGGATTACAGAGATAATCTGTGTACAGATGTTTTTACTTAGGACACTATGACCATATTATAATACAGAAATTAAAGCTATTTTATAGCCTTAACTCCCCCCCCCCTCCTCCTGCCCCTCCCCCCTTTGTTTGAATGTAATAAAGTAAATATTATATGTTTGATGTTGTGGCTTATTACCTGGAAGCATTTGTGGTAGTTTCTTTGCAACAATAACCATAAAATTGGGGTGAAAAATGCAACTATAGAAAAAGTAATAACAGATTAAACCAAATGCTGGGAGGTATAATGATGACCTGCAAACTATTGTGTTAGTTTTTTCTGTAACAACAATGACTCAGGGCTGGAAATTAAAAAAATGCCCATTCCTATTATATTTCATGGTAATATTTACTACAATTGAAACCCAAGGACCAGAAAAATATTCTGCATTTGCTAAATGGAAATGCTATAATTTTCAAGTCAAGCATAGGTGCTGTGGTTAGTTTAAGTGACATCACCGGGATGTGCAACTTTGTTTTATTAATGTAGCTCTAAAGGGTGAATGGCAATCTAACTCTTTAAATCATAGTTAACAAATCTGTTAATTAGACACGTTTCTTCTTATATCACTATTAATATAATGCAGTGTTAGCATTACTTAGTCATTTTATTGTGGATACATTTTGCTTTGGCATTCCAGCCATAAAATAACAAAAAAGGCTTTTTGAGGGCAGTAAAAGGCTAGATAAATAAGGGCCAATTTTAATGGTGCCAGCTTGTGTGACACAGAGCTGAGCACTCCTTGGATTTTCTTCCCTGTAGAAATTTTGCCTTTAGGGATTTCTTTGCCACTGTGCTCTGTATCATTTTCACTTTATTTTCAGCTTTTAAACTCAGACACCACTTATTAGCAAAGACATAAACCCACTCAACATATGGTTCTCTAGTACAAAAAAAAAAAAAAAGAGCATCCAGGCACCTTCCCATGAGAACTCAGTGATGAACTTTCCCCACAGCAGGAAAACTACTGCATCATTAAAGCTTTTGGGTAAGTAGCTGCAAGTCTTCTATCAAGGATTTCATAATTAACTCTAAGAGCTTGTGCGTCTACTGTAGACCTGGAAAAATCAGGTTATTATTATTTTGCCAGTGGCTCTGGCACAGCATGGAGTTCATTGACTTACAAGTACTGCAGGAGCGCACGGGCTGTTAGCCAGCCCATCAGCCACCTATAGGCTGCCATAGTGGCTTCCCACAAATACTGTATATGTGTGTTTCCCTCAGTTTGTCAGTCTTGGAGCAATGATTCATAAAAGCCTTCTTTATGCTGCTTGGCACCTCAGGAGGGATTTGATTTTGGATTAAACCACTGGGCCACAGAGCAGGATTACACTCTGGGAGGGAACATGTGGTCCTTTTGAACTGGGTTTATCAAACCCCCTACTTATCTACAAGGTACAACTGAGTAGACTTGTGTCTTGCAGAGAGGCACACAAAGCCTCAGCACCCATTTTAAATCCAATTTAATCATAATCAGAGGTCATAAGTCAAAACCACAGTATTGATTTAAGCTGCAGCAAATAATTGTTATCGTAATAGTAAAAATAAATAAATAAATCTGAGTTGTGCTAAATTAGAACGACTGTTCCAAATGCTGTTTTGAGCACAGAACTCATAATTTGATTTTGCAGTCTCTCAGCTATGTGGTGATAATTGTGATTTACTTTTGGTACCACTTTAATTCTAAAGGTCCAAATTATCGCCCTGTGGTAGTCAGGATAGGCTCCACCCCCCATGACCTTGTAAAGATTAGCAGATGAAAATGGATGGATGGATGGATGGATGTATGTATGAAGGGTCTACATCAAGTAAATGACACTAAATGCTTCATATAAAAGGTATAATCCCATGTTAAATTTACACTTGATTCTGAAAACTTTGCTTCATTTACAATGACTACATTTCAGAGAAAGACATTTAAAAACCCCACTCAAAGCATTTCATTTGAGTGTTATTGAAGCACAGCCATATAAATCAGAATATAACCTTTAAAAGTTTGATTAAACATTTGAACCCTTTTGTTAAAGATGTTACTTAACACTACTTTGTACTAAAATGAAATTAAAGCTTACTGAGTAATAAAAAAAACACTTTCTTTGGGCTCAATAATTAAAACGAATTGAAAAATATTTGTTAACTGGGAGGTATAAGCACAAAATCTTACAGATCCCAGAGCTTCTTTAATATTATAATTTCAGATGTTGTGTGTTTTTATATTTAATAGCGCTTGAGCATAAAATCATACACACATTTCATTTTAGAGGAGAAAACATTATTTTAGCGCCGTCACAGGCAGGCTGAAAATACTACCTGTACCTCCACCCCTACCCCCACCGCTTAATGGGGCATCCAAAATGTATTACTTTGTAAAATATTCTTTGTTTCTTAAAAAAAAAAAGAAATGTTAAAACCGCAGGTAAAATAGATTAAACGAGTAAACAAATGTGTCCCTACTTCAGGTGGGTAAAAAAAAAAAAAGCTTCATTTTCTTGACAGGGCATTTGTTTGCTTTTGCATAATTGCTTCCAGAAAGGCGATCTTTTTGGACAGCATGACGCAAGTAAGAATAAACACAGTAATTAGCGTTTAGAAAACTGCAGGAAGCTGAGAAAATAGGACGGAGAAGGAGGAAAAGGGGCATTTGAATCTCCTATGGTGTTATTAATGTCACTGGCAGTACAAAGCATTGACCACCTCCGAGTCCGTGGCAGATGGATGGGAATAGCATTTAAAGAAGATGTGCAGTATTTTAGAGGGTTTTGATCACTCAAGTTGACCCCACAATATTAAGAACTAATGTAGCACAGATAATCAGATATTGCTTTTATATGGCCCAATGAAGAATTTATTTGAAAAAATACGTTTGATGGTATGATATATGATCAGAAATTCATAAAATATATATGTTTTTTTAATTAAATCTGCTAATTTGCAAATGAGAATAACTGTTATTTTTTTCCATCTATCTATTTTCTGTCTGTGATTGATGACTATCACTGACCAGATGCAACAAACACAGAGGTATTTTTCTATTTAACTCATACAGTGATGTGTTTTCTTTCTTTTTTGTCAGTAACCAGGAGGCAAAACATTGCTCGGTTTCAACACCCCCTCCCCCACAGAACACCCTGTGTTTTCAGATCACAGCACATGAAGGGGTGGAAATAGATTTCGTTTTGATATGTGGATTCCCAGTTTTTAAGAATATAAATATGCAAAATATGTCGTATTTCTGAAAAGTCTGCCATCCACAGGTTACTACTCAAGGCAAAATAGATAGATATTGTGAAGGTCTTCTTCCTCCCCTTCCTGCATCTTCTTTTTTTTGTTTGTTTTTGTCCTCTGGCCCTGATCCTGCCAACCCACTCTGTGGAACATCTGCAATAGCATGCTCACCCACTCTAAACAGCAAACCCTTAAAATACATGAATCATCCTGGAGAGAAAAGGGTGGGTATGTAGATGTGTGTGCCTCTTTATCTCTGCTTATGGGTGACATATGAGAAAATAATTTGTTTTTATACGTGCACACTGGTGTACGCGTTGGTGAGCACGTGTAAAAGAACGACTGCATGATTGTATGTGTGTGTGTGTGTGTGTGTGTGTGTGTGTGTGTGTGTGTGTGTGTGTGTGTGTGTGTGTGTGTGTGTGTGTGTGTTCCTGATCCTGAGTTGGAAAGCTGTGTGGGCAGAAGCATCCTGTGCCGGTGTAAATTGATTTCCAGAATCCAGACGCTAGGTGCACTATGCAGGAAAGAGCTGTGTGCTTCTGCACCCATTTATGAAAGGTGGTATAATGGTTTATGGCTGCATGTGTCTCTGTGATGTGTGTGCGAGAGATAGCAATAGGGAAAGGAGAGACAGAGAAATAGACAGAAAAGGTGCAATGACACAGAAAAATCTGATGTCTCTGTTTCCATATTGACCACAAAAGTAACAACTACACTTTTCCAAGTAGGTGAAAAGGGGCTCCTTTCCTGATAATAATGTTTGTTTATTCACAATTTGTGAGAAGAGGACGGACAAATATGTGGAGTGTCAGAACAAGTGAGATAAACAGTGAGGTGATGGAGAGAGACCAGCGCACATGTTGCTTGTATTTAGGAACCATACTTATCCAAAAATGACAAACCCATCACTATCTTGACAGGCAGTGGCATCAGTTTAGCATATTCATTACAATGTGTGTGTGTTTTTAGCTGCACAACAACAGGCTAATGGGGGGATGGATGATGGCCATTAAATCTTTATGTAACTCCCTCACTCTAATCATCATTGATTTTAAATCAGCCAGCATGAACACTTTTTAATTGGCAGTTCTGACTGTCTGAAAGTGTTGTGCACAAGCCTTCCATCAAAGAAAGATGGGAAACATTTGCACGTTTGACTGTGTAAGCACCTAAAGCTGATCCTGCTGTTTTTCTTTCTTAAAAAAAATATCTCAATGGTTCACTGTGGTGTTGAATTTCTTTACTGTTTCGCATTCTGTTATGCCTTCTCAAAAGTCCAATATATAAAATGTTCCAATATAAAAAATAAAAAATAGATGACTAAATATTGTGCTCCAGCTTTGCTCTTCAGCCGTCTAAACATGGGTTGTCCCGACCAGCAGGACTGCTTCCAATTTGCATTCAGTCTCACAAGCATCCTTCAGGACAAGCAGCTTTTTGATGCCACGCCTTAGAAAAAGTCCAAAAATACGAAATAACATCAATTAGTCATCTGCTATGACTGACACTGGAGTGCACGCTGAAGAGGAGGCTACACAGGATGTTGCAGGGTGACAACAGCAGCGCCAGTGTACAGGGTTGCCAGCACTTGATTGTAATTCCGTGTGGGAGGAGGATGGGTGGGTTTAAGTGTATGTAGTCATTCCTCTTCACACGCTCCGCTGTGCGCACACGGTGAAGACAAAAGCAGAGCGCGGTCCACCTCTCCATGTGACGTCCAGCAGGTCGGTGAAAGCGCAACAGTAATCTCAGAAATCAAGAAAAAAAAATAAGTATTTACGCTGCGCAGAGTTAACCAAGTGCGCCCTTTTCCTTTTCCTTTTCCCCCCCTGGGTGTTCCCTCACTGGGTACTCTCCTCTCCATCCTCTTCAGCTTCAACATTTGTGAAGTGGCTGCCTCACCCGGTCGGACCGGAGGCCGTCTGGTCTCTGATCTGTTATCAGGAGTCACCGGAGACTCGCTGCGCACCGCCGGCGCCAGGCTGTGCGCCTCTCGGATCACACCCGAGCCACCACGAGCTCTGGCGATGGACATGATGGAAGGAGACGTTATGGACAAGCTGGAAGACACGTCATCGGTGTACGACTTCGACCCGATCACCGGCAACATTCCGGCCACCAAAGTAGAGATCACCGTCTCCTGTAGGTGAGTCGACGCGTCCGCAGAGAGCGGAGAGCGCAGCGGACCACCGGCGGTCAGGAAAGTTCGGTGTTCGGACTGCATGTTAGAGCTGTGCTAGAAAAGTTGTGAAAAGCGCCCCACCCAACTCATCCTATACGTGTAGCTGCAGATTTTGCTGTGCAGACCGTTAGTTTCCATGGTTTGGTTTACAAGGAAAGTTGTTTGTATCATTTTTTTCTACTTAAACTCTCAGTGTACGTGTGTGCATTTATTTGAGAAAAAGTTCCAATTTCCCTTGAACTTTTCAAGTATTTCCAATTTGCCATCAAAAAAAGTGTCTGAAAATGTGCACAACATCACATTATTTCGTTTCCCTGTGTATACATATTCAAGGTTAAATCTGGGAGGAAATATTTTATGCTGCCAGCTCTTTCTGTTGAAACACTGTTTGAGGACAAAATAATTCCATGTGACATAATACATCACCAAACATGGTAATAATTATATATTAGACAGATCCTTTAATGTGACATCTTTTCAGCCAGAAGCCTCTTTCATGCTGTGCCCATTGTAACCGCTGGCTGCTTTCAGAACACTAAAAGCCTCATTCTTACCTCCCCTACACTCTTTAAAAAGTAGTGGATGTTAAAGATTCAAAGGTTTGCATCACGTTCACACAGCGCCCGTGTCCTTGGCCTCAAGCTTACTCCCATTTTTATTATTTTTCAGTACAAAAGGATTCAGAAAGCCTCTCGGGAAGAGAAATCCACCCTCACCAAATGAATCTCCCTACAGTGCTCGTTCAGTGAGAATAGACAGTCACTCCTCTTCCCATTAGAAGAAGGTTTTAAAGTCAAGGCTTTCAGTGTCTTTCACCTCTCAGACACTCCAGTGCTGGCATGTGTGAGCATCTTCGCACACACACACATGCACATACACACTGAACTGCACATGAATGTTTCTGGTCTTTGATGCTGGATTTTGGGTTGGTGAGCCACTGAAGCAGAGTGAGTTTGAGCTATAACAAGCTGCGTGTGCATTATTGATGCACTTTCTGGCGTTCAGAGAAGCTCGCTGCCACATTATTCGTCTCAGAGTAAAAAAAACAAAAAACCCAAAACATAGCCCTGCTTGGAATTTACTGAATGAACAGCCATTGTGCTGCTGGGCGATGGTGGGGAATCAGCTTAGATGACGAATGGGTAGCAAACTGGTTGCCTACCAATGAAAGACCTGCACGCTCTTGGATTTTGATGTTTCTCAGCCTGTAATGATGAGGCGAATGGAATTATATCATTGCTGATACGCAATTAAGCACCATTCAGGTAAATAATGAGTCCCATTCTGACAAACCCCAGCATATATGCAAATGGTTCCTCTGCATGTGTGTACATTTGTGCTGAGGAGTGGTGCACAACCCTCCTGGCAGAAAGAAGAGGAGTTTGTTGAGAGGAAATCATTAATTGAAAGGAGAAGGTCGATGCATCTCCCTCCTGCTTCACTGCCACCTTGTTTGTGTCTGTGAGACAGATCGAGAGTTCGAAAAGCTAAGAGTTCATCTTATGTTTGATGTCTTGGTAATTTAGACTTTTATTAAAGGCAGGAAGATGTATAGATGGTCTTTACCTGTACATAAATGGTCTATACTCATACATACTCAAACCAAGCGCTACAAGCTCTCTACTTAAGGGCTTGTCCTTACTGTGATCATGCCACACATAGGAAGAAATGCTAATGAGCTACACACACCTAAGTGCAAAAGGTTGCTCACATAACCCCATAGTAGGGATTTTGCTTTGTAGACTACAATCCCTGCTCTCTGTAATAGCTAACAACAGGCTACTCTATCAGCCACAATTGAAGCAGAGGAAATCAACAGTTAAATCTCTCTGTCACAGTCAAATACTTCTAATAACAGTTCAAGGCCTCACAAATCCTCTAAATCCTTTGTACAGATGTTGTGTGACTCAGATTCCTATTGAGGAGATGAGCCTCCCCGTTGGCTCTTCTATGCAGTTCTCCCTTTGTCATTATGTCCGTGCGCGCTCTGAAACCTCGAAACCATGATGATAGTCGTTCCCTCCGGGTTAATACCCCCTATTACAGGCTGCACCCCCTGCTTTTGACATCGTGTTATTATCAGGACCAGTGACAAACAGAGAGCGCTGAGCGGGCACAGGATCAGGGGAAAAGAGGGAAAATGACAAGAATTGAAATGTCTTTAATTCAAGGCAAGGAGAAGCATGAGAGATTTGGGGTGGTAGGACATTTTTGTCATATAAAAGAGATCATCCTTTTCCAATCAGAAGCTCTTCGGAATATTCACCAAATAGATTTAGCTTCTACGACACATCGCTGACAGTCCTTCGGTTATGTCTGTCACCATGCTCGCATTGCTCGCTTACGTTTGATGTGTAACTTGCGGCACATTTGTTTTGTGAGAGAGCCTGGCCTTTGGAAATGAAAGACCGGTGAGACGGTTTGACACGGCAGAAAGAAGAAAAAATATTGGGGGCCAACACTGAACGTGTGGTTTCTCTTAAAATGGTGTTTACACACCCACAGGGATTGCCAGTCAATGGTCATCTTCTGAAGGTCAGTGATGAGAAGAGGGCACAACCTGCACTAGAACAGAAATGCAGTGGAAAAGCTCGGCTTTCATTCAGCCCTTTATTATATCCCTCTTTGCCATTTGCTTCATTTTCTAACTGTCCAGTCAGTTCAACAAAATAAAGCAGTACTTATGCATCTAAGGCCATTTACCAGTGTCCCAGTCAGCTCTGGGGACACTGACTGGCTTGTTTATTGAAGAGCAGGTCTGTCAGCTGCCAAGAGTGATACGGTGAAAAGCAGCAGACTCACCTGGCATGATGTGATGGTGTGTTACAGTGTTGGAGCTTGCATAAACATAAGCTTAGAGTATGAGCTGCATTTCGAAGCTGCCATTGTAGACCAGTGATTGGACCTAGCATTCGTTTTTGCCATTCATTACCATTCAGTAACAGAGAACATGAAGGGCTTTCTAGCACCTCATCTCAATGGCAATCACCTGGCTAACATCATTTGGAGGAGGGCACGAGATAAAAAGCTTCATTATTTAATTCCGATGGTTAGAAGAGCCTGTCAAACCTTTAAAATGCTTTAGTGTTGATAAATTACATTTAGGGTTTTTCAGATATCACCTTTAATCTGTTTTTCAGCAAAAAAAAAAAAGATATGCGCTGAGCTTAGGTGATGAAATATTCATACATGAAAGGCACACACAGGGGCACAGTCGGAGCATGCGGTTAAGTTAAAAATTTACTGGAGTCATTTTAAAATGTGAAAGGATGTTAATTTTGGGACAGTTGATAACAATAGAGTTAATAGGGCTCAAAAAGCATTTGATATTTTTTTTTGCCTAAATTGAGGATAATTTCAATAATAATGGTTTGAGGAGTTCTAATTTAGAAGTCATACAGGGATGAAAAAATTGAAAAAAAAAAAAACCCAAACAGCTGGTGCTGTCTTAAAGATGTGCTTAACCAGAGTTTTACAAGGTACTTGCCAGATTACAGTTCTTGCGTAGAGTTAGGCTCCCCGTCTTCTTGTCAGGGAAGATAGTCTTTGCATTTCTGGGATCACTGCAATGCTGTCAAATTAATTTGTAATTTGTGACCCTTCCCGGTTGGCTGGGAAAGTGCCCCAAATGTTTGCACAGCTCTGTACAAGCAAGGGACTGATTAGGGTTAAGAGAAGTGAGGTGTGATTTCTACAGAGCACTGGGTCAAAGTTCACATTGACTGAATGCAGTGCGGAGACCCAATTATACCATTAATGGATCGTCCTTTTCTTCGAGAGCGACTTCTAATCTAAGGGCTTCCCTAAGGCTGAAGATAGATCTTGTAGCTGCTGAATTTTACTTTAATTGGTGGCTTGTGGTAGTGATATAATAATTCTATTCTTGTAGTTAGTGCATAGTTTGCTAACAGGAGGTGGTGGTGGTGGGGTTGACGTGGGATTTCACAGCTTGGTTTTGAGTGCAGGCAGTGGATGTGTTGCGGTGATTAAATTCTTCTGCTAAATGCCTGGATGGTCTGCATTTGCATATAGAAACTTGTACTTATGAGAGCCCTGTTTTAAGCATCTGCTAGCTTCCTTTACAGATCTGGGACAGAAAGCGTCTCACAGAGCGTAGAAAAGCCCTAAGGAGATCCTGCACCGCTGCTTATTATCACTCTGGTTTCCCTTGCCTTTCACATTGCGTCTCTCTCGGTCTGAGCTCTTTTAGTGTGAATGTGTACTGCACCACAAGCTTCACTGAAGCTTATTAGCCTCATGAAGAATGCTGTGTATAAAACATGAGCTCAGCTTTGCAAACCACAATATAATTATCTTCCAGATGACTCCCCACTGCTGTGAAAAGTAAGACAACCCTCTTTCTGTCTCTCTCTCTCTGAAACACACACACACACAGTAATTTTTAAACACTACAGAGAAAGAACACTGCACGATGTCACACAGCCTAACTGACTTTAGTTTGTTAGGCTGTGTGGGAAAAAGAGAAATAGAGGTAGGGAAGGAAAGATAGTGTGGATGGTTAGGATGTAGATAAAGAAAGGCTGAGATGAGAAACACAGTGAGCTGGATACACTCATCATTGCACAGTAACTGGAAGGCAGGGATGTAAATTCAATAAGAAGACCCCCCCCCCCCCCCCCCCCCCCCCCCCCCCCACACACACACACACACACCACATACCACCCTGAAAAAAGAGGGGGGGAAGTAAAAAAGTAATTGGATTTATTGAGAATATTTCTGCTCCTCTCAGCAGGTTAAGTTTACAAATAGACTGCAGGTTTGTCTTAGTACCTGATGTGATGCTTTACTGAAATGTTAGCAACAGAAGTAAATGAGAAAGCACAACACAGTAATGATCTGTGGGCAATATAAACAGGTTGTGAACATACGGTTGGCATATCTATGGCACACAGGTGCATATTTAAACACCTAGCAGTTTGAAGGAGAATAATCATTCATGTCTA